TCTTCTCTTTAGGCTTCAGGAAAAAGTCTCTGACATGGAAACAGAAGAACAAATTCGTCGGCAACAAGCGCTGGTTAATTCTTCTTCCCGAAAAATGTCACCCCAGGTATCATTTACAGGAGCCCCGGTAAATTACTATTTCTCAATACTTTCGGTGTAGAGTTTATATTTGACTTCTTTTCTTTTCCTCTTGCAGCTTGTGGAGAATGGACATCATGTAAGTGATAATCACGAATATAAATGTTCCGGAATCGAGTGAATTATTCTCTTGCACTCTGAGACAGATTTTGCATTCTTACAGGAACCAGTTGCACCTTTACCGGTAAAAAGGTTTGGGACAGAATCTTTTAGACGATCTCGAATTGAACGACAACCACATGTATGTGCCTGACGAAAACAATTGTCCTGATAATACCATACTTTTTTTTTTCACTGGCCAAATGGTTGTCATATTTCTGTGATGCAGGAATTTGTTGATGTTCTTCTCAAATGTGTCTCCCAAAACGTCGGTTTCAGTCATGGAAAGCCTATTGCAGCTGTTACAATATATAAATGTCTTATACGCTGGAAAATATTCGAAGCAGAAAAAACCAGTATCTTTGACCGAATTGTTCCTGTTTTTGGTTCTGCAATAGAGGTAACCTTGACAGGCATGGTTCAGTTGTGCTGACAAAAAAAAAAATTGAATGTTTTAAATAATTTATAATCTTCCTGTCATTGCTCCATACTTGGTTAGATAGAACTTAATGGAATCCTCTGCTTATTTATTGCAGAATCAGGACGATGACAATCATTTGGCGTATTGGCTAACAAACACATCAACTTTATTATTCTTGCTTCAAAGAAGCCTGAGACATAACTCAAGTACCTCAAGTCCAACAAAACCTCCTCAGCCAACTTCGTTTTTTGGAAGGATGACACAGGTAAAAAGAACAGAGGGTAAAAACTGTTGTCTTAGACGACCGTGAAGCTTGATTCTTCCAGCTCTAAACTTTTATCATATTTTTGAATGGCCCATAGCAATTAAAGCTTATGTATCTGGGCGTACCCAAAATGTGGTTGTCTCAGGGTTTTCGTTCAACGTCTTCTCCAAACCTTGCAACTGATGTGGTGCAGCAAGTAGATGCTAGATATCCTGCTTTACTTTTCAAACAGCAGCTTACGGCTTACGTTGAAACAATGTATGGAATAATTCGAGAGAATGTGAAGAGAGAAGTGTCCTCCCTGCTTTCTTCCTGCATTCGGGTATATAGACCTTTGACTAACCCCGACCTGTAAACTAATCCTTTGAGACTCTATTAGCTTTCAAGATAGGATTATTTCATGTAAATGATTCTCTTTTAATGATTTAGGATCTGAAGGATTCATCATGTGATTCCTTTGTTGTGAGTTCACCATCAAAGTCATCTGGAGATAATTCACCAACTAAGTCATCTGAAGATAATCTCCCCTCTAAGTCATCTGAAAAGAGTTCACCAACTAAATCATCCGTAGAGAATCTCCCCGCTAAACCGGCTGACGAAAATTCAGCTGAAGAGAATTCGGTGAAGAAGTCATCTGAAGAAAATTCACCAAAGAAGTCATCTGAGGAGAATTCGCTGAAGAAGTCACCCGAGGAGGATTCACCAGCTAAAGAGGGCGAAGCAGCAAAGTCGTCTGAAGAGAACTCACCAGAGAACTCTTGGAAAAACATTACTGGGCTTTTGAATCACTACCTAATCACATGGAAGAAAAATTACGTAAGAATATTTCTGTATTTAAGCGTCACATTACTTCTTAATTACCCTACTAAAACCATTCTCTTTCAGGTTCCTCTGTTTCTCGTTCAAAATATCTTCAGCCAAACTTTCCAACACATCAATTTTCAACTCTTCAACAGGTAAATTCTTTTATCCCCTCATCAACTTTCAGTTGGGAAAAAAATCACTTATCATGGCATTAAACGAGCTGTTATCTGAACCACGCAGTCTTCTCCTCGAGCGAGAATACTGCACATTCAACATGGGCAAACAAGTGGAATCGGGGTTAGATGAACTAGAGTCATGGTGCAGCCAAGCAACTGAAGAGGTAACAGTTGTCTGAAAAAATGTTAGTAACCAAACATTTCTAGGGCATGATTTCACTTGTTACTCTTGAATGCAGTACGTAGGATCCTCTTGGGATGAACTCAAACACACAAGACAAGCCGTAGTGCTCCTGGTCTGTATTCTTCTCTTGACACTTGACAGTATACCACTTTCCCTCTTCTTTTGCTTTCTTCAATGTTTATGGACTTCTTCTTTCAGATTACAGAACCAAAGTCCACAATCACATATGACGATCTTACAACCAACCTTTGCCCGGTAACTCTCTGCTTCTCTGATGTCACAACAGCATTAAAGAGTTAACGAACAATTAAACACTAGAAAGAAAGAAAACAGAGGACAGGCATGGAGAAAATACTTCTATATAACATAAATCTCTAGTAGCTTTTATTTTATCTCTTGAAGGATTCAGATTGAATTTTGGTTAACCTTCTGCTAATGTTTCTCTGTCAATCAGATACTTAGTACTCAGCAGTTGTATAGAATATGCACTCTCTCTAAGAACGAAGATCACGAAAATCATAACGTATCGCCAGATGTAAGTTGCTCTGACCAACTTTCTCCAAGCTCTAGTAAACCGAAAAAGACAAGACAGTCTCTTTAACTTTTCCTATTTCGGTGCTCTTAATGGCAGGTGATTTCCAACTTAAAACTTCTAATGACAAATGAAGATGAAGATAAACGTTCCTTCGTATTAGACGACGATTCCAGGTACTACTAACTTATCACAAATCTTGTTCAGACATCATATGACCATAAGCTTCTGAATGTTTTGCCTTTTGTTCATGAACACAAACAGCATCCCTTTTGAAACCGATGAAATATCGAGCTGCATGCAAGAAAAAGACTTTGCAAATGTAAAATCAGTTTCCGAGCTTGCTGATAACCCCAACTTCCATTTTCTTAAAGATTGAGAAACTGTTTTATGGACTAATACTACCATTGATTCGCCTCGGTATGATCTGTATATTAATTCCTCTTCGGTTTCGAGTTTGTACAAATCTCAATAGGTTTCTTTTTCTAGTTTCCCTAAGAGCGTTTTGAAATTGAACGTCTGTATGTATGGCTCGCTTTCTTCTTTTCAGACTCGTTTACTTGTATTCCAAGAAATCTTAAGGCGGGAATTTAAACTATGTAAAACAAACTTTGATATAATTTGTTGATTATCTACCTAATTGGATAGAACAGTTTGATTATCTACCTAATTGGATAGAACAGTTTGACTATTTGGAATGAATAATAATACAGTAAGTCTCTTTTTCTGTTTTAGTAGGCCCATAAGTTTTGTGTATGTATATATGTGAAAGAAACCCTACGCCGTATGGAGTGTTTAGAGGTTAAAGAAAGGATGTGGAAATACTAGAAGGGTCTCTCCTTTACCAGAAAACCTAAATCAAGCCCCACTTATCCTTTCGAGTCACATAAGAACCTCGAAATCATCGTCTTCGTTGAATCGTTGTTGTTGAGGTCCTCCGAATCACAATCCACAAATTTTCAGGTGATTTATCCATTTTGCTCCATCAAATTCATGAGCCATCTGTTTCAGGTGAATCGTTGTTGTTGTGGATTTGGTATGGATTAGTGTGGGTTTAGATATATCAGGTTTTGGTTGGTGAGTTATGTTCAAATTCCAAATGAAATTGAAAGGAAAGCTTTTTCTTTACTCGGATGTGCTTCATCTTTCGTTGGTATTCAATTCAACTTTGCAGCTTTTGATTTTGGTCACTCAAATTCTACCATTTTGCTTCTTGGTTATATAGGGTGTTGCGCCTTGAATTTTGGTGGATTGAAAACAGAATATATATGGATTTGCTATGTTACGCCAATTTCACTTTACCATTCCAGTCTTACACGACCTCAAGTGAAGCCACTGGTCATGATAGAAAAAGAGAGGTGAAGCATGAAATAAAGAAACTAGTCTCTAGTCTCCCAACTGTGCTGCAGTTAACATCCATGAAGCTCCTGGCATTCAGAGAGTTGTGTTGATTCTTGCTAGTAGTCCATTACGACCTCAAAAAGCTTATTCCTTGTTATTCACACACAATGGACATGTTCTGAGCAATGAACTCGACTTTGCTAAATCCAAAGCTGCATAAACACCTTTCAAAAGAGGTTTTTATCCCTTACCTTCTGAGTTCATGTTACCTGGAATTGTTCTTTTTCTCGTTTTATCTGTTATAAAATGTTAATCTCTTACCTCATTTTTTGGCTTTGTAGACTATCCGAGCACTGATCTCGACTGGTGCTTGGTCAACTTTCTGCCTAGGTTACTTTTTGGGCAAATCTCAGACCTCATCAGTTTTGTATGACATTGCATAAACTGTCAGGTTTTATAATGTTTAACTGTATATGATATTCGTTAGGTCCAATGAGGCTCTTCATATTCGTTCATGCTCCATCTTCTTTAAATCTTCCCCAACATTTCCTTCCTAAATGTGACTTTAGATACATCAGCAAGGTATAGACTTGTGCTTATTCTGTTCACCCATCCAAGTAGAAGATTTCAAATTCCATCACCGGAAACATATCCCCTTTGCTATTGCAGTTTGTGCCTCTAAAGTTGCGACTCAAGATAACGAGACATATTTTCCTCTCAACTCTGACACAGCGGATCTAATATGGTATATTTTCTTTCACCTTCTTCAGTTCCAGGCTAAACAAGTTAGTTATTCACCAGATCTTGATAATACCTTCCGTGTGATTGCAGGTTTCAGTGTTGACATGTAATAAAGGGATTAGATTTTCAGCAACCAGTTGAAGAATAGTAAGGCTTGAGTTTGTGTTTCTGTCTTCTGGAGCAGAAAACTACTCAGTGACTTGTTCAAGACGAAATAAGCCATTTGGGCTTTTGGCCCTGACAAACAGGTGAAATTGCGTTGTTTATTTTTCTTAAAAGCTGGCAATGTGATTGTCTAAATGGCGAGTTGCATATTCAGCCTTTCTTATGGCAATTCCAAGGCTAATGGAACCAAACCTGTCTACTATGTGGAGGTATGATATCCCTTTCTCTGCTCTTTTGCCTTACGCTTACACTTTTGAACATTTTTATGCGGATAATGATGGAGTTATGGTTGTGTTTCAGATACAAACACCAATCGACTGCCATCTACACAGCGTTGTCACGTAGACGTGGTGGGCATGTCACATCTGATGTTCCTCAGCCCGGTACTCCGGCATGTTTTGTTCTGAATTGGTCCTCTATATCATCTCACTGAGTGATGATGATTAAGTGAATGATTCAGTGGGGGATACAATCATTTGGGTTTGAGACAGATCTGAGGAACCACACACAGGGACAAGCGTTTTGCCTATCTGTGTTTGATCACTGGGCAATAGTGCCAGGAGACTCTCTCGACAAAGCCATCCTGTTGCGTGCATCCAGCACCTAGCTCGTGAATTCATGGTCAAGACCTGTCGTAGAAAGGACATGCCAAAAACTTTGTGGGTTTAATGCAGCTTCTGATAAGAATGAAACCGTGAGCTGATAAGGATTTGCAGGGAATGAGCGAAGATGTGAGCGGAAACAAGTTTTTCTAAACAGCAACGAGAACAAGTTGTGATAAGATCTACTGATAATAGATGATGCTGTAGATAATAACGGTTTACCGAAATTTGGAATGGTATAACATATGTAAGTGTGAAATCATGACCAGTTAAGCTTTCTCTCCCTCTCTATATTTACATATTAGACACATATTCGTATTTATTGGTAATAGTTCAGCGAAAACAAACAAACAAAAGAGTAGTGGTAATTAAACTATCACTAGATTTATACCAAAATGAATATTTGAATATAACCATTTTATTATTTTTTTTTAAAATAAATCCAGTAAATCAATATGAACATTTATATATATGTAAACTTTTTTTAGCAAGCGATAAACATTTAGATTTATATAAATGTAAACTTACATAAACATTGTCATGATAAATTTGTTTCTTTTGTAAAACCTAATGAATCGATAGGTGTCACATGATAATAAAAAGCAATCAAAAAGTTAAGGGAAAGAAAAAAATATTGACAACTACACCACGATCTTTTAAGAGAGTTCTTTCCTTCTTCTTTTTTTGTCAACAGAGAGTTCTCTCCTATTGTAGTTTTATTAGAACATCTCTCTAGAGACTTTGATGTAGACCATTGACTCAATATTACAGTGAATGAGATCAAAAATATTTTACTTTAGTCTTGTGTATATATCTTTATGAGATTTAGTAAAATTATGTAAACAATTTTTCACATCATTTTTCATCATTTTTCAACATGCACTCGTTTATCTCTTGACATCTAATTTGTTTTCACCTTTTCTTTGGTGACAGATAAGAATATAACATATTGGACTATGGATCGATTCTTAGTTCTTAGAAAAACTATTTATATCTTTTCATCTTTATATACTATTTTTTACTTTAGCCATTACTTAAGCGTAAAAAAATCTTAAGAGATACCCATATCTCTTTGAGAGGTTTTTTAGTTGTGTTATGGTGCATATCAAATTTATTTTCTAGAATCTCGTCTTCAAACTCATTCTTATTCATCATACACATATTTCATCTTTTGTCTTTAAACAATTTCGTAAATCCTCTCATCTCATATATAGTTTTATCATTTATTGTAAATATTTATATTATATTATGTTTGTAGATATTAATTTACACATAATCTTTGAATTTGATTATTTTGAAATTTGTAGTATAAATCTCATTAAATAATAGTATAAGTTTTTAAATGTATCTAAAAAGGGGAAAATCTTCTTAAAAAATTGTTCAAAATTTTCATTATTAGGTTAAATAGTGTTTTTAATTGGGGATTTTTGAATTATTTGTTTTCTGTTTCTATTTCTAGTTACCAAATTGTTTATAAATCTATAAATTGTATTAACTTTAATCACTAACATGAATCTATTCTTCAACACTCATAAAATAGTTTTAAACTTTTAATGTCTAAAGATCTAATCACAATTAATCGTTAAATACATTCCTTCAAATTTAATTTATTATTCACGTTTTTATTT